AAATTGAGAGAAAGTTTACAAAATATATAGCTTGTATTTTCAAAAATGTTAAGATCATGAAAGATAAGGATTGAGAGACTGTTCCAATTAAAGGAAATTTTAAAAAAAGCTTGACAAACTATTAATAGTGTGTAATCCTGCACTGGATTCTAGACCAGAACAAAATTTTTATTTAATTTTCTATAAAGAGCATTATTGAGATAGTTGCCAAAATTTGAATAAAGTTACAGATAATAGTACTATATCAATGTTATATCTAATCTTGATAATTATACTGTGATATTTGTACTCTTAGTTTTGAGGAAATACACTGAAAATATTTAGGAATAAAGGATCACAAAGTAATTATAGCAGTCTCTTTATCTCTATCTCTCTTTTCTATCTCTAGAGATAGAAAAAAAATCTGCGTATGGTGGCTCATGTCTGTAATCCTAGCTATTCAGGAGGTGGAGATGGGGCAGTTCTTGGTTTGAGGACAGCCTGAGCAAAAAGTTAGGGAGACCTCATCTCAACTAATAGCTGGGCATAGCAGTGCACAGCTATCATCCCATCTATACAAGAAGCATAAATAGAAGGATGGCACTCCAGACTGGCCAGGGCAAAAATGTGAGACCCTATCCCAAAAATAACTAAAGCAAAAAGGGCTGAGGATGTGGTTCAAGTGGTAGAGCACCTGCCTAACAAGTGCAAGGCCCTGAGTAAAGGCCCTGAGTAGAGCCCCTCCCCCCAGTGTTCAGTGTCACTAGAGAGAGAAAGACACAGAGAGAGAGAGAGAGAAACAGAATGAGAATGAGGACAAGAATGACAAATGTGGTTAGATATGGGTAAAATGTATATTTTTGATACTATTTCAATTTTTCCTTAAATCTGAAACTATTTGAAAATAGAAAGTCAAAAAATTCCACAAGCATAACATTTTGAATTATTTCCTTCCAAGTATCACATTTACAAATATATGAAAAACATAACTGGAATCCTATGCTAGTCTTACCTAGTGCTTTTATTAATTTGATACTGAATCATAAGCACTTTCAAAATCATTTAATATTCTTTAAAAACTGCTGGGTGTGGTCATTTATGCTTCTAATCCGAGTTACTCAAAAGGTGAAGACTGGGAGGATGAAGTTTGAGGCCAGCCTGAATAAAAAGTTAGTGAGACCCCGATCTCAACAAATAAGCTAGGTGTGGTAATCCCAGCTATACAGGATACTGTAGGTAGAATTGTACAGTCTGAATTGAGACTCAAATAACTAAAAACAAAAAGGGTTGAGGGCATGGCTCAAGTAGTAGATGGCTGCCTAGCAAGCAAGAAACCTTGAGCTCAAACCCAACTACAATCTAAATAAATAAATAATTTATTTAATAACAGTTGTTAATGAATGCATAATATTTATTAGAATGTAATTTATTTAGGATTCTCATATTTTTATATAATAAACCTCTAGTAAAACATGTAATAAAAATCATTGTCATATATCTTTGTTTATATATGTTATTACTTCTTTATGCTAAATTTCTAGACTAGAACCCATTTTGCTCTTGGTTTTAAATGACTAAGGAACGTATCAAGCTCCTAAATGTTCCCAAGTTCCTTTTTAAGTTTGGGGTGATTTGCTGACTTCTAGGCTGCTCTGAGTCTCATCTGTTTGGTAACAGATTCTGGGCTGGAGTCGGCAGTGGTTGGTGATTGCAGAAGAATGTGAGGCCACAGCTGGTAGCAGTAGGTGGGTTCAGTTCTGGGCTACACCTGTTGAAGGGATTCTTATTTTTGGCAGGCCCTGAAAGGTAAGGAGAAAGGCCTAAAAAAGTCACTGAGCAGGTAGGTATAGGCTAGCTAGATTCATGAGGTTCAGTCCAGCTTAACATTCCCTCATGAGGTATAGTTCAGCTTAACAGTACCAGAGCTAAGACTGGCTTTAGGGACAAAGATAAAATAGATATTAATACTGTAGTGATGAAGACTTATAAATGGGAACACACAAAGGTTGATAAGAGCTTAGAAGAAGTTTTATGCCTTCCTTTCAATAAACTTTTATACAGTTTATGCTCTTTTATACAAACACAATATCCATTCATTCATCTTCCCTACTTTGCCTTCAGCATACCTGTAACTTATTCATCATATGTTTCAGACCAAAGGAAGTAGTAGTGAAGTTGGAGAAGAGAGTAATTTAAAAAGCAAGAAAGTGTGGCCAGGTGCTGTGGCTTGCACTTGTAATCCTAGCTCCTCTAGAGACAGACATTGGGAGGATTGCGATTTGAGACTGACTCTGGCAAAATGTTCTTGAGATGCCATCACAACTAATAAAAAGCTGGGCATGGTGGCTCTTGTCATCCTAGTACATGTGAAATGTAAACAGAGGATTGTGGTCTAGGCCAACCTGGGCATACATGCAACACTCTCTTTGAAAAATAACAAAAGCAAAAAGGACTGGTTGAGTGGTTCAAGTGGTAGAGCACTTGTCTAGCATATGCAAAGCCTGGAGTTCAAACCCTAGTATTGCCACAAAAAAAAAAAAAAACCGCAAGAAAGTAGCATTTACCAAACTTCATGACCAATTAAGGAAGATGCTCAAATTTTTGGATTAGGCACCTGGGTGGATGATGACATTCACCATGCCAGGAAATAGACATCTTTTTGGCCCAAATTTTATTTTATTTTGAGATGGGGGTCTCCCTACATTGCTCACACTGGCCTCAAACTCCTGGACTCAAGTGATTCCCCGTCTCAGACTTCTGAGTAGCTGAGAATACAGGTTACTGCCACCATGCCCAGGTTGGCCCAAATTTTAAAGAACAAAGAAAATTTTGCTAGGGTGACTTTAAACTCACTTAAAGAAATTGTTCTTAAAATATTAGCTTTCTAAAGGATGGGTATGATATAAAAATGAAAGTGGGAAGGTCTACCTGGGTGGGAATAAAGGGGTATTTTAGAGTCACTGGATATTTTTGAAAATCAATGCAAAATTGAGTGGGATAACAAAATCAGTTGAAGCAGGTCAAGGTGGATTAAAATGAAAAAGAGATCTTTAGTAGAAGGACAGAAAGCAGGTAAGAAACTTTTCAGGAGCAGAGCTCAAACTGGTAGGAAGAACCAAATAATTCAAACTGTAGCAGACAAAAGGATCTTAAGTAAACTTCTATGATCAGGGAGGCAGTGGTGATGATAAAGGCAGCCTCCAACAGCAACAGAATTTGAACAGAAGGGAGAAAGTGTGAAGCAAGAGGAAACTAGTCCTGGGAACAAATGAGTCATCTTCACATAGTAGCTACACCCTGGGTAGCATGATTATTCATAAACAAATGCAGATTTCTTGCAGTGGTAGTGATCTAGACTTGGAAAGCACAGTGCTAATGTTAGGTTGCCAAACTGATTTAAATTAAAGGGCCCATTTCTCTAGACTGAAAATATCCAGCAACAGTAACTTACCCTTACAACATTTTCTTAAGATTGCTGAAAGGACTGTTAGGGTTCTCAGACAGAAGACTGATGGAATCTCAGGGTCTACTTCCAGCTTTTTGTTGGATGTATTTCACATGTAAAATGGTACCTAATTCATAGAATTGTTAAGGATGAATCACAGTTCCCTTCTGAGTCCCAGTTTCTCTTATCATAAAAAGGGGATAGTGATTTTTTGGTTTTTTTGGTAATGTGACTCAGAAGTATGTGGCAAAGGCACACTTTGGATTGTATAGCAACAGCTTTCATTGATGAGAACACTTAGGTTTTATTTTCTCTAGGTGGCTGCTCAGTTATTATGTGAACATTTCCTGGAGACCATATGTAATTTTCTCATTATGATTTATTATTAGGCCATAAACTGCAGTAAGGTAAGATTGCCTTATAATACTTTTATATAGAAATATGTACTGGTTCTATGTTGATATATGCTGTGCAACAGCATGTCAAAAATTCAGAGTATTAGGCTCTACTTTTTTTTTTTTTCAGTACTGGGGTTTGAACTGAGGGCCTCATGATTGCTACGCATGTGCTCTACTCCTTGAGCTACTCGGTCAGCCCTAAGCTCTATTCTTCAGTGGAGAGATGTTATATAAATCCATTATTTCACTATTCCATTATCCATTATTCACAGACCAGGAATGACAAAGAATGATGCACTCATATTTTGATAGGAATACACTGCAAAGAGAAAAAACAAAAACAGATTGGTACAATTTTAAGCCTAACAAAGACCAAGAGTAAGATTGTTCTGGAATCAACAGAAATTGGAACTAACATTTATTAAGCACCTTCTATAGGCCAGTCCGCCCATCTCCAATCTTCACAATCACCAAGATAGGCAAGAGAAAACTGAAGTTCAAAATATTACATAAATTTCCAGGGTCATAAAGCTACACGTGATGGAACTGGAATTGGTAGCATCAGAATTTGTCTGACACCAAAGTCCCTCCTTATTATAGCATACCACTCAGAAAAAATACTGTATTTGAAAAATTTGGGGGCCAGAGGATTTGCATAATTTCTTTTTTTTTCTTCCCTTCTGATAGTCTTTTGTTTCTTTTGTTTTTGGTTCAGTTTGCACCCTAGAGGCTGAGCGTGATCAAACAGGAGACATCTGTAAACAGAAGGATTCCATAGCCAATATACATAAAACGTTTTCCTTCTTTTAGCGCCTTATTTAGGATTTGGCAGGGAACGGGGGACAGAGAGGTGGGAGAGAAGAGGTGACGGCTGGGAAGAGGATTAGTAAAAGGATCATTCTTTTCTTACCTTTAAGTTGCTTATGAATTTCAGGATAACCCGTTGGCTATTGTCTTCTCTTCCTCAGCATATTTTTTCCCTATTTTTGGGGGGGAGATGTCAGTGGTTAAGGGTTTGGTGTCTGTAGAAAATTTCTATAGTGATCTGCACAGTGGATTCAAAACAAGTTAAGGTCAAAGAGAATTCCTTCATCTGCTTTGGGAGAGGAGTGTAAGTGAGTGTGGGTGTGGGTGTCAAAAGGTTCACTCTGGGTCACTCTTCTTCCATCCAGATACACTTAAGGGACTAGAAGGGTACCCCCCGCCCCCACGACTGACGAAACGAGTTGATTCCCGCACACTCCCGCGCTCAGGTGCGAGCTCAAGTGACCGGAGCTTTCACGTACCTTCTGGAGAGAAGGAAAAGGGGCTGAAGTCTGACTGGGGTGGGGACCTCCGGGGGTTGGTGGGAACCTAGGCTTCCGGCTCTCGGGAAACGTCGTCAGGGGCGGGCTGCGGGCTGCGCAGGACGCGCGGGGGCCCCGCCACCCCCAGGCCGCGCTCCTAAGCGTTCCCTGCCGCTCGTGCCCAGCGCGGCCGCCGCAGTCCCGGCGCCGTAGCCGGACGTGGGGTCCAGGGGGCGCTGTGGCCCAGCAGCGCGGGTGGCTGGAGCGGCCACCGCAACGCTGGAGGAGGCTTCGCCGAGGCTGCCTGTCTGCAGCACCTCGGTTGTCCCGCCGCAGCCTGAGTCCCCGGCCTGGCTCCGCGGTGCTCCCCGGGTCCCGCGTAGGTGCGGCGGCCCGGGAGCCGATGCGGCCGGGCGAACTCTGGGCCTCAGCCGCCGCTGCCGCAGCGACCACAGCCCCCTCAGGACTGCAAGGCTTCGCGGCGGATCCTGGGGCCGCGCTGGTGCCCTCCGGAGGAGGAGGAGAAGGCTTTCGGCTCCAGGACGACCCCCCCCGCCGCCGGCCATGCCGAAGCGGCGGCGGCCGCTGCTCGAGGTGAGTGTGGCGCGACGCCTTCTCGGGGTCGCCCCCTCCCGCCGCACCCAGGGGGCCCTGGCGGCTGCCCTCGGGCCGGGCGGACGGCGCGTCCTGCCGCTGCGGCCGCCGCCGTGTCCACCGCGTTGCTCTGGTGCTTCGGCCCTTCCTTCCCCGCGTCCCTCGGGAGGCCGGAGGCTCGTGGGGAGCGACTAGGCCCCGCGCGGCCGGGAAGCCCTCGCGGGGCCTGGATCCCGGCGCGGCCGGGTGTGTGAAGAGGGGTCTGTCCCGGGCGGAGCCGAGCTTGGCTTCCTCCCCCGGGCCCTGCGTGTGCATCCCGGAGGGAGGCAGGGGACGCTTGTTTGCAAACAGCTTGGCTTCCCAGCGCCTCACACCGAGTCCCGCAGCGTCCGGGGGAGGATAAAGGGGGCAGGGCACCGTGAGAATTGAGGTGCAGAGTGCGGGGCCCGGCGAGCCCCTGGTACTCTTGGAGTGTCATTCATGGATCTGTCTCGCTTGCTAGAGGACCGCGTTTTGCGTTGCATTTGAGGTGAAATTTCATCACCTACCCCTAGCTAGCTCATCCCTTCCTCCTTTGGTTACATCTTGCTTCTGCCTTGGAGAAAGCCTCATTCCACCTTTACGACGCTGTTTCCTAAGCACTCACAGTCACAAAAATATCTTTTACAAAGATCTGTTTCCCTCGCCACCCCCAGTAAGAGAGGAAATACTTGAATTTTTCGGTTCTCGGTACAAAAAAAATGTTCCACCTAAGTAGATTAGAGGACGGATGACCAAAGAATTTTAAGTCATGGTAACTACTCTAATAGCAGGTGCCTGGTGGAAATGGGATATATTCTAAATTGTAGAAGTAAAACGATTTGTTCTGTCTTAATGTAAAAAAGATGTCAGCGATTACAGTATTGATACTGTATGTCAGGTATTTGGGTGCTTCTCGTTTATGATACATACGATTGCAGGTTATTCTTGTTTTCCTATGATGTATGTGAAGGTTTGTAGGATTTATACGTACTTCTAAAACTTTTGTAATCATGAAAAAGATCCTTATTGTAGAAAATTTGTAAAGCACAGAAAGATACTGTGTTGGCTGTCAGTAAGAATTTAATAACTGGGGAGAGAGCTCTTGTAACCACAGATAGTATGTTTTGATGGTTGAAGTTTAAAATGGGCCTGTACTGATGGTGATTTAAAAAATTATTATTTTTGTGTATTAAGTTAAAAAGTACTGACTAAATTTATAGTCAGTGATTTGTATAAAACCTGTAAGCTACATTGGAACCATCTCTAAAGACCATCAACATTAGAATCAGGTGAGAGTGCTGATTAATTTGTGCAGCTTCCTGGCCCTTTGAATCAGAATTCTAGGGGTAATAGTGGCCTAAGATCTCAATTTTTTTTTTTTTTTAAATCAAGCTTCCTGATACTTAGTCCTACTAAAGTTTGAGAATTACTGATGAAAGTTCGCTAACCTTGCCTAGCTGAATGAAAGTGTCAGTTTTCTAGCAAAACTTTCATTTTTAAGTGGCAGTACAGTCATTTCTCATAGCTACAGATAATGGTGTTAAAATGTAGAAAGAAAAATGATACGTTGAGGGACAGTTGTTTCAATCAACAAATATTTATTTAGAGCATACTCAGCTTACTCTGGTAGCTGTGGTATAGAAGGATAACTGGGCACTTATCATACCATTTTATGGACCTCAATGTTATTATCTGTAAAATGCAGATGGTTCTTATACTTTGCAAGGTTTTTAGGATAAAGTACCTGAAAAAATATTACAATCTTAAAAGGTATTGTATAAAATTTCAGCTATTAATAGTAAGTGTAGTTCTTGTCTTAGGTGTTCTGGGAAACTCAAAAATAACCAAGGCTTTTGCTAGCAATTAGCTAATTGTGGAAGCAGGACAAGTTTAATTGTTACAAGACAGAGTCAGAAAAATGTTGTAATTGAATAGAATGTGCTAGAGCTCTGCTTAGGGCTTCTGTGTCTCACTTAGTATCTTGCTCTTTAAGAACATTAGTAGGGGCTGGGTATGTGGCTCTGTGGTAGGGTACTTGCCTACCATGTGCAAGGCCCTGGGTTTGATACCCAGCACTGAAAAAAAAATTATATATGGTTATTCCTTTCTTTTCCAATTCCTTTTTTTTTTTTTTTTTTGTGGTGGTACTGGAGTTTGAACTCTTTTCCCCCCACCCTCAAATTTATTTATTTATTTTTAGTATTTTTTATTATATTATTTTGTACTGGGGGTACATTATGACATTTACAAAAGTTCTTGCATTATATCATAGTTGAATTTACCCCATCCATCATTCTCCTTTGTTCTCCCTCCCACTGTTCCTGGAATATTGAACTCCTTTCTTTTCCAATTCCTGATTCAGTGTTTTCTTTAAGATAATAATTGTGTATGTTGCCTGGTAAATACTAGTTTTATATTACCTCCTTGAGAAAGAAAGAATGAGGGGAGATGAACCTTTTTCTTTTTCATTCCATTCGCCAAATTTTTATTTGGCGTCTGTTATGTGCTGGCCACAGACTGGTTTGGTTGCAAGGCACAAAGCTTGATTAAAAGATAATTGCTTGGGTTTTAACTTAAGTTCTTTTGTTGCTAGAGGGTGGTATACGTGTGTTTTATGATTGTATTTTTCTTTTTGAGACAGGGTCTCATTATGCAGCCCAAGTTAGCCTCAAACTCACTATGTAGCCCAGGGTGGTCTTGAACTCAGGATCCTCTTGCCTCTGCTTCCTGATCGCTGGGATTACAGGAACCACTGTGCCCAATTGTAATATTTTTATTAATTGTCTGATGTGGTACAGAGAGTATAGAGTCAGATGTGGACAGAAATCTTTACTACATCTCTTAGAGCATTGTGACATTTAGATTCTGAGCTTCTTATGTTCTTTTGGAGTAACAGTACCCTTCTCAGGAAAGTAGAACAGGTTCCACGAGATAAAAGTAATCAAAAGCAATTACCTCATTGTCGTCACATAGAAGGTACTTAGTAAATGTTCATTTCTATCCTTCCTTTTGTGAAAGTAGAAACAAAAAAACAGGCCTGGGAATTTCTGTGCGACTTAAAACTTGTTAACTTTAAATTTTTTTAAAGAGTAAGCCTACTTTTGAAATTTTTTTCAATTTTTGATAGAAAATAGTTTTAATTCTTAGTACATAAACTTCCTATTCATTTAATAAATTAGTATTCTGTGTGTATAGCATGCACTCGTTGCATGTTATCCATTTTAACAGTTTTACTTTGATCTTTAATATTACTTCATGTATCTGACTAGTATAATATAGATTAGTGTATAGAGTACCATTCTTAGTATATAATGATAATTGAAAAATACATAGTTGTGGGTACAAAATAGAATAGTTCATGTACTTAGTTTTCAAAAAAACAGTATCAATTTAGTAAACATTTAATTTAAGAACTGATGAGTTTTCAAAATAAATACTTTTCCTTACGGTCTGTAGTAGATTAGAGCTAGGTTTTATAACCTGTCATATATGGGTTCCAGTCTTATAATCTAGGTGACCTTGGGCAGTTTCTTTTAGTGAGGATTAGATGATATAATGTGTAAATCAGAGCTACAGTTCAGTCCCATTGGCAAATAAATGTTACTTTAGAAATGGAAAATATATTTCTCTGTTTGAATTTTAAAAGCATTAATTATTTATAATGTTTATTATTAAGAAATAAAATCAATATGATCAAATTTGAAATATTAGAGATTATGAAATTAAGTATGAACCAAGGTTTCAGTAGAATTAGTATTTTATTAATGTAGTTAGTAGAATGTCTTTTTATCATAGTAAATTTTATTTAAATAAAATAATTTCAAAATGCTACTTATAAAATATTTCCTATTTTATAAATTATTTAAATTTCTTTCTTTTATTTTAAATAGCTCATTTACAGAACTGAACTTTTGTAAAAATTAGAATAGTATGTAATGTTTTCTACTTAATACCTTTTGAAAGCCTGTAATGAAATAAGGTAAAGATGAGAGCTTTGTGAACACACATTAAGTCAAGAAAAAGTCATTGAATTTATATTGGGCGAGGGAAAAGGAGATCTTAATGCATGTTAATGGGAATATTGAGGTATCCAGAATTTTATATTATAGAACTAATGCAAAAATCTTAGAATTTTTTCTGCAAATTGTCTTTTCATTTTAAATTCTTATATTTGTTTATTTAAACTTAAAAATGATTTTTCTGCCTTAGGCCTTTGCCTATAATAGTTTAATTTGATACTTCTCTTTTTATTGCTTATTATAATATATCCCTAAATTTTTGCTACTTAATATCTGTGGTGGTAATACTATTGCTTTTAAAAAAGCAAATGTATGTCCTAGATTTAAAAAATTTAAATAAACTTAAATGATAATTTATTATTTTTTGAGAGGAACCTTAAGAATAAGACCTATGGAAATGGTAACAAGTCTAGAGTTTTTCATTTATTAGGTAAGTTTTAGATATATTCAGGTTTTGATTCTTCTGGCAGCTTGAAAAAACTTTTAGCTGTAGGGAGAGTTTAAAATGTGAAATGAAGAGCATATATATTTCTCTCGCTCTCTTTTTTGGCAGTACTGGGGTGTTGAACTCAGGGCCTCATGCTTACTAGGCAGGTGCTGTACCTCTTGAGCCACACCCTAAGGCCATTTTTGCTTTACTTATTGTTTGATGAGGGTATTTTTGCCTGGCACCAGCTTCGAACCATAATCCTCCTACCTGTGCCTCCTGCATAGCTGGGATCACAGGTACATACCCCCAGGCCAGAATTGTTGTTTGAGATGGGGTCTGGCTAACTTTTCGCTAGGGCTGGGCTCAAACTGCAGTTCTCCACCTTCTGAGTAGATGGGATTACAGGTATGAACTACTGTGTCTGACCCATATATTTTAATTAAATTCAGAATATTAGCTAAGGGTCTATTTTTTATAATAGTTTTATTGAGATATTCACATACTATATAATTGACCTATTTAAAGTGTAAAATTCAGTGGTTTTTGGTTTATTCCCAGAGTTGTGTAAACATCATCACTGTCTAATTTTAGAACATTTCCGTCTCCTCAAACTGGTATCCAAATTAGCAGTTACCCCCCTCCATATCTTTCTAATGCCCTTAGCCCTAGACAACCACTAGTGTGCTTTCTGCCTTTATGGATTTGTTTATTGATTCTGGACACTTAATAAAATGGAATTATACAAATAGGATTGATTTCTTTTAATTAGCATGATGTTTTAGGGCTCAATGGCAATGCATCAGTAGTTCATTTTGTTTCATTGCCAAATAATCTGTTCTATGGAT